ATGGTTATAAGATTTGGGAGCTGAAACATTCGAATAACATTTGTCGAATACAAAAAGTGAGGAATCTGAGGATGTGTAAAAGCTCTTTTTTGTGTTCTTCCAGTTCCTATAGTGATGACGAATCATATTATGAGGAAAACCTCACATATTTGTCGTTAGATTGGGGTGACTATGACCGCATAAATAAGGGAAGAAGCGGCACCCTTAAATGGGGTTCCTATGAACGCACGGATGCAGGAAGTGGTACCTTCACCAACTTTGAACATCTGCTTACAAACCTTCAAATAGATAAGAAAAGCAGAACATCAAGAAACATGGAACCAGATTCAGACTCAGAAGTGGTGATGCTTGAAAAACTTATACCACCCAACGACATAAAGGAATTGTTGATGCATGCATACATGGGTGCAGGGTCTACGTTATGGTTGAACAAAGACAATTCGATCTTTAATGTAGAATATATCAGACTAGATAAGTGTTTGAAGTGGAAAATTCTTCCACCTTTTGGGCAGCTTCCTCGTCTCAAGTATCTTTACCTTCTTAACATGCCAAAAATAGAGCTGCTCGATAATAAATTTCATCAGGATCGAAAGGTTTGTACCCTTCCATCACTGGAGTTGCTACATATTGAAAATTTACAAGTATTGAAGTTTTGGTTTGATGTAGAAGCAACAAAAGATAATTGTTTGTTTCCTTGCTTAAATAAACTCTACCTCAAGGACTGCCCAAAGTTGCAGGAGTTGTCCTATTTACCTCCTAAGCTCAAGAGATTGGAGTTAGATAACATTCCGTGGAAATCTTTTGACTTTCTAAAGGATAACAACAGCTGTTGCAACATTATAATTCAAAATTGCGGCAATTTAAAGTATTTCTCAAGAGATATGGCTTCGAGCTACGAGCTCAGATTGAGTGCAGAAGTTATAAATGATCCATCCGTGTTGATGATGGAGCCATTGAGAAGTACTGAGTCCATTAACTTGTTGACAATTAGTGATTGTCCGATGATTTCATTTCCATATGGGGCTGAGCAGTGGTTTCAGAAAGTTAGTTACATTTGTGAGTTGTACATGGCAAGGCTTCAAAATCTTAGGTGTCTGCCTTACTTCTCTTCACTGGAGATTTTATATGTGATGGATGTTCCTAAGCTCCAGAGGTTGTCATACATCCCCGCCTCTCTAAAAAAATTAAGTCTTAGAAATCTCAAATCATTGCAGGATCTTCCATCTTTTACGGACATCTCTTCACTTAAGATTTTAGAGATGATAGATGTTCCCAAGCTCCAGAGGTTGTTGTACATCCCCGCCTCTTTGAAACAATTAAGTCTTCAAAATCTCAAATCATTGCAGGATCTTCCATCTTTTAGGAACGTCACTTCACTTGAGATTTTAAATATGTTAAATGTTCCCATGCTCCAGGGTCTGGCGTACATACCCGCCTCTCTGAAACAATTAAATCTTGAAAATCTCAAATCATTACAGGATCTTCCATCTTTTAGGGACGTCTCTTCACTTGAGATTTTACATATGATAAATATTCCCAAGCTCCAGAGTCTGTCGTACATTCCCGCCCCTCTGAAACAATTAAATCTAAAAAATCTCAAATCATTGCAGGATCTTCCATCTTTTAGAGACGTCTCTTCACTTAAGATTCTGCATGTGATAGATGCCCCTAACCTCCAACAACTACCTAACATCCCTGCCTCCCTGGAAGAATTACGGCTTGAAAGACTCAAATCATTGCAGAGCCTTCCATCATTTAGGAACGTTGCTTCACTTAAGATTTTAAATGTGGAAAAAGTTTCGCTGCTCCGGCTGCTGCCTGAAATCCCCGCCTCTCTGAAACATCTAACTCTTCAATATCTTGAATCATTGCGGTGGCTGCCAATTTCTTTGCCCTACTCTTCACTTGAAACTCTACATATTAAAATGGTTCCTCAACTCCAATTGCTCCCCCCGAAGATCCTCCCACCGAAGATCCCCACCACTCTCATACAATTAAAGCTTGAAAATCTAGAATCGTTTCAGTGCCTCCCATCTTCTTTGTTGGACGTCTCATCCCTTGAGCATCTATCCTTAGAAAGTATTCCCCTCCTCAAATCATTGCCAGACCTCCCGCCCTCTTTGTCTAAGCTGACTCTAATTAAGCTTGATCAACTGGATTGCCTGCCTTCATGCCTTTCTAATCTTTTTTCTCTCATTTACATTCATATTTGTGAAGTCTGCAAACTCCAGAAATTACCAGATCCTCCTCCCTCCGTGAAACATCTATCAATCATGGGCTGTCATCCAGAGTTGTTGGAGCGCTATAAAGAGTTTTCAGGCTCTAATGGGTGGTTTGTAGCATAAGCATCAACATGTTGCTCACCAGCATTCAAGACTCGGGCAGCAAAATACTAGAAGAGAAACAACGAATGATGGTAACCATAAATTACCATTTAATTCTTTTCCAATGAATGCTCATTTTTTGTGTTGTTGTGTAATTTATGAGAGAATATTACATGCAGAGTCGGAGTCATGATGCATCCGAACTTCATGTACATCAACTATTTGTACAACATCGTTGAAATGTCTCATAATTTATGTTGTTCCCATCAGTAAGCAAGGACTATTTTTATATACTTATTTTTATATAAATAATGCATCCGGTATGAGGAATGTCAGGTTGATGTTAACCTACTCCAAAGTTAGAGTAAATTGATGTTTAGTTCTTTGCAATTTATCTTACAGATTTTAACTTTACCTATTTTGGATTTACTTATGGGAGTGGGATATATTCTTTATTAATTTGATTTTTGATAGATTTACATACAAACAACTTATTTCTCATGTATTTACAGATCTGACACCTAAAATTAAATTCTTACATGCATGCCATCCCACCTGCCCATGAAAAAATGTATTTCATTATTTAAAAAATTTTAATGGAGATATTTTTTATGTGATATCAAAGATTTTGGTGGTATAAATGTGAAACATAAAATGTAGATGATCCATGTGTAAATATATATAGGAAGTAGGTGGTATGTATAAAAAATAAAGTTTTTATTTGACATGATTTTATGGGAGTTATGGTTATTTATGTGATTTGATATGACCTGCGGCTTCATTCAGTTGATATGATGTAGATATTTTTCCTTTTGGTGATTTATTTTCTTTTTTTTAAGTATTCAGTTATTAATGTTGCTGGATTCCTAATTCAGATCAATAACAACTAGAATTTCAGTAAAAATATAAAAATTCAAGGGAAATTTACATACACGGCACTCAATTATTATGGATTTACATATCTCATACCTAAACTTGATATTTATACGCACATCAGTTCACCTTTGCATGAAAAAGTGGTAATTAGTACAATTTTTCATGAAGGTTTTGCTGTGAGATACTCAAGTCCATAAGAATTGCGTTCTACGCATGTAAATGCTAAAATATTCACTTGCTTGCTGAAATTTTGAAGTTCAAAAGTTTTACTAGTATTTTTTAATTAAATATTCATTGCATTTTTATTTCATTTTTTTTTTTACTTATTTTTTAGCTTAAAGAAGAAAAAGATGAATTTTTACTGCTTATTGCTTTTTAATCCATTTATTCTGCTTTTTCTTATATTATTTATCTTGATTTTATCATTCTATTTGCATTATAAAGCTTAAGTCCTTAATCATTTTACATCATTGAACTGTCTGTAATTAAAGCTACACTTGCAGCCTTGTTAGTACGTTCCAAATAATGGTGATGGGAACTAAAGTTCACTGCTTTATCTGAAAGCTCTTGAATTCCAAGGCTCCTGTGTTGGATGGTTGTCATTGTGCCTTTGCAGATGATGGTTTGACTGAACCTGTACAATTTACTGCTGCGGCATATGGGGACTGGAACTTTAACAAAGCCAAAATGACTCAGTTTTGAGTGAACTGCTCTTCCTTCGACTTCATTATTAGGTGCATGCTAGCTTATGATTGTGTCTGCTCTGATGGGAACTGATATGAGAGCAAGTCAGGTTGATTAAAAGTTCAAGGGTGGGGTAGAGAAAATTCAGAAGAAGAGTTAAATCTGGATGGCTAAAGGATTTCGTTGGCTGAATGATTCAATTAATTTTTATTTGCTGCTTTTTTAGTTGTCTTTGTTCTGTGTGTCAGTTTGCCTTAACTTTGTTTAGTTAAGGCCTTGGTTTAGTATTCTTTTTAATTTCTGTGAGACTCTATTCGTTTCTTGTAATTACTTCTTTCTAAGTTTTATATAATTTTTTTTGCTGGAAGAACATCCACATAAGAAAATTCTCTGCTTTTTTTTTTAAATTCTCTTATGTTAAAAGGTTTATACAGGTCGGGTTCCGGTTAGCGAGAGTACAAGGCAAGTCGAGCTCAGGTTGAAAATTTTGCTCCGTCTAACATTTCGACCAATCAATTTCGGGCCGGGTTAATTTTGGAGTCAGAATTAAAACCAACCACGAACCTAATATGACACCCCTACTTGCTTTAAAGAAGAACGAGTTTGATGTCCTATGTTTTGAACTTATTCCACTCTTTGAATGAGGTATAACTTCATTTTTGTATTATTTGTAATTCTTTTTTATCTGGAATTATTTTCCTTATGCTTTGTGCAAAATCAAGTTGAGGTGCGGAACTTGGAACCACTCACACAGCTGCAACGATGCCTGCAGCAATGCCCTTGTGCATAGAAAACTTAGCGTGGCCAAGCCAGTTTCAGGCATAGCTATGTCAGATGGCGTACCTTAGCCAAATAACGACGCAACCACACTGCGGATTCGATCCTTCCAGGTTTTCTTCCCAAGTGAGAAAAATATTTGCACCTCTTTTGGGCGTACCTACACCATTGAGACGATTTCTCTAATTCAGTTTATAAGGCTCTGTATCAAAGTGAAGGGTGTGTGAATAGAACATTTCGTGTGGAACTCTCGATGGTGCTTGGACTAGTAAAGGTCAAGAGCATGGATTTCAACGGTTATTTTTCTTGTGCGTTCAAGTTGTGTGGTTTTGGTTGTAAATTGATTTTCTAAGTCCTCGGTATGATCCATCCTAGCAAGTGGTATCAGAGCAAGATTTTCTTTTATAGAGATGTTTGGTTCAAGTGGAAGCAATGGCCGATGAAACAATGACAAAGTAGAGAAGTTCAATGGATCAAACTTCGTGTTTTGAAGAATGTAAGTGAAATATTTATTTTATCAGAAGAAGTTGTATTTACCATTACAAGGAACCACGAAAAATACTGAAATTATAACTCTTTAATAATGGGACATGTGGGATCGTACGATCCTAGATTTGACTCGTCTTTTATTTTTCTCGTTTGTTGCATTCAATTTAATGAACGAGAAAACTATAATGAATCTCATGACAACTCTAACAATAATGTATGAGAAATATTCTGCTTCAAATAAGGTTTTTTATGATGAAGAGGTTATTCGATATGAAGATGGCGGAATACAATTCGGTGATTAAACACTTGAGTAATTTTAATATTGTGACTAACCAGTTGTGCTTTATAGGTATCAAATTTAATGATGCTATCATGACACTTTTATTTTTGTTGTCATTGCGAGACAACAGAGATGGATTGGTCACAGCAGTGAGCAACTCGTCACAGAATATGAAATTAAAATTCAACGACATCGTGGGGTTCGTACTAAGAGGGGGGGAGTTCTTAGAGCTTCCGTTCCTCTCTCTCTTGAGTCAGTTGAGTCCGAATTATCAAAATAAAAATCTAACCCAGTTGATTGCTCGCATTACTGAAGTTGATCCTCCTAGTATTTTGGTTTTTTTTGGAGGATGAATTTCATTATTTCTTTGTTCTAGTTTAGCCAATGTTGGGTGGGTTTGGATTAACAAAATCCTAAGTTATATCCCCGATAAGTCATAGACTTGCATTTTTTGGAGGCGAGAGCTAGAGTTGTATTCCTTCCCCCAGTTTAGCCAATATTGGAAGGGCCCGGATTACCAAAGTCTAAAAATTATTCTTTCTAGCATAGTGGTTTATCTGTATTTGGAGATGTGAGGAGAAGATCTTAAGCTCCGCTCCCTCCCGGGTTTGGCCTGTTTTGGTTGGCTCAGTTTAACAAAACCCAATATCATTTTCTCAGACGAGTCCCGAATTTCAGAACCTAAGGAAACACTCAATCTGTGGCAAAAAGATTTGTTTTCAAGTCAAACATTCCGACCAATGTTTGAGAAATAGGATTGTCAGTTGAAGGGGAAATATTTACATACGGAGGGCGCACACAATTTTGCGTGTGTACTCCAGTTATTCAGATGGTATTAAAAGGTTATGCGGGTTATTGAGAGGTTATTGAGGATAATCCTCAAATAATTGAGCTATTGAGAGGTTACTGAGGGGGGAGCACGCATGCAGCAGAACTGTTGGGTCCGCCGTACCAAAATCTCGGCCCAATTGAAAATTGAGAAAAGGGAAGAGGGCGGATTTGGATCCAAAAGCGAAAATGGTGCGGAGAATGGCGCGGTTTGAGAGGGGGAATTCTGTGGAGGAACTGCAATCGCATTGATGGAAGCAGAAGCGGAAGTGATTTCATGAAGATGTTTATTTATATATTATTTATTTAAGGGAATTTACATACATACCACTAAATTCTTATGTTTTTACATATTCACCATCTAAATGTCACTATTTATATTTATGTAACCTAGACCTAGGTTTAAATTTTTAAACAAAAATTAAAAAAAATAATAATTAAAATTTTACTCTGAGAAAATATGAAAGAACAAAGATATCTGCTCGCTATTTCTCGTTAAGACTTCGCACCAGGTCTTATTCAATCGTATATTTTTAATGCGTTTATACGTCTAGTAAATTAAACCTTAATTTTTATATTCAAACCGGCTAAATTTTTTATATCGCATAAAAAATATCTTCATTTTTCATATTTAAAATAATGCATATTTTTTGTATTATATATGTAAAAGTTAAAATTTAACCGATAAATATATAAATACAGTAATTAAGTGATATGCTTGTGCCGCACATCCCGATCTGTTTAATTCAGGATATAAGACCCCTCAGTTTGGGGGTTCTAACCCACACTGACACAGTTGGCCTTAAGAAGGTGATACTTAAATTAGTATGCATGTTAGGAGTTAGGAATGACTCTAGGCTTCAAAATAGCCTCTTAATTAAAAAAAAAAAAATTTGATATGCACCAAAATCATTTTTTTTCTTTTGGAACATTTATATAATAGGACTCAATTCATACGTTTTTACATATCTAACACTTAAAACTTCTTTTTTGTATTTATATCATCCCACATAAAAAATATTATTAATATAATTTTTAGAAAGTGAAACCTTAAATTAAAGTTTAGGTGTAATATA